TTCACCGGATCAGGCGGTTTCCCGCCGTACATCTTGGACCTGGGTTCTCAACATGATCCAATATGAGACTAAGCATTTATTTTTATTTTTATTTTTATTTACTACAGTCTCCAAAAAGGATCGGATTCCACACTGGATCGATTATAAATACCCTCGTATATAATTGTACAATTTGATCATTCAATGTGCATGAGTTTTGTCGATATTTTTCAAAATATTTATTGGTAAATCAGTAATGATAAATCAGAAGTTATGTTCCATGTTTTTGATCGGATGGACGATATATAAAAAAAGAAAGAACAAGACGTATTGTAGAGAATTGTATCGTAGAAGTAACGCTGTCGATATTGATGGCAGGAAACGAAGACGTCGAATGAGTGAATACATGAACTGCTTCGCTATTTATAGTCCTACATGGAAGAGATCGATATCTATTTATCTTTTGTTTAGTCTAGACTACTTTTCGTCAAACTTTTTGATCGATGATGATAGTGATATCTAACTCTTCACTTATCAAGCATTTCCTTTTCGGCATCTTTTTGTCTTCTATGATCTTCATTTAGTAATATCCTGTTTTCATCACTTAAAAGAGATAGTAGTATGCATTTTTCTTTTCTAATCTAATGACTCACTGAGACATGATATGATGTAGTCAAATATAGGGATAACATGTTAGCCAGTAGAAAAAAATCTTACTATTCACAATAATAGATGGCGTTGAACCGCGACGTACATTAAGAAATTTTATTTATTGTATCACAATCAAGAATGTATATGACCCTCCTTTCAGGCGAGGGAATAACAGACGTAGAAAAAGAGTAATTATTTTGTTTCCCTAAACGTATGGTTTGTATTCACTCCTTTTTACCATATGTTGTAAGGGTCATAATCAGCAACGCTCGTCGACGGATTCGCTCAGCTGCTTCTCGTGGAAATCGTGCACTGTCGTTCTAATGAACTTGTTATGCATACAATCTGTAAAAGTTTGCGCCAGATTCACGATCCTCGACCATTATTTTCCGTCGATCAACCCTAGCAAGGAACGTTTATTTTCCCAAATCTGGTCGGATCCTTGAAAAAACTAACATCATATTCATGTAGTGGACCCTCATTACCGTTCGGTCAAGTTTTATTCATGTCTATTGCGGACTGGCTAAGGACGCCAGGACGCTTCTACTATGAAGATAAGTCTGAAATAATATACACAATATATATTCTTTTCTAATAGAATAGCGTCCTAGTGTTTCATTAACTAGTATCTATTGTGAACTGGTTGAGGACGCCAGGACGCTGCTAATATAGAGAAAGTTTAGAAGTTGACCAAGAACAAAAATTCTTTCGAAAAGACAAACATTTCCTACAACTTCACATTCAATGTTGATTGTTGAATTTTAATTTATTGTTATATTTAGTGAAACACTTATGAAAGGTGATTCGAAACTTTTCAGTTTAAAAGCATCTTTAGCATGACTTCATAAAAATTAATTGATGCGTTCGAGGCAGAATTTTAGAATTGCAGTGACAGAAGACTGTATACAAAGTCAAAGATCGTTCATTTCTTAGTTAAAGTTTCGGTTTATCACAAGTTTTCACATTAATATTATTGAACTAGATCACCAGATTTAAGAAGATAACCTATGCCCTTGACTCTAAAACGATCATGAGATATACAACTAGTGGCGTTCTCATTTGAGATTTGCACTGACAAAAGCATAACTAAATTCTGAATTCTATAGCTAAGATCCATCATTTTCTATGCTTGTACGTGCTACATACGTAAATATAGATAACACTATCACCAAGAATTTAATACTTGTCATAAAATTTCCTAAATGATGTTTTAAGAAAAACATCTGCCAAAATGATTAGTTGTGTGAAAAAGTAAAGCACAAAAAAATGCTAAAAAATGACATTCAGACTTATAATTCTCCACCCTCGATTTTTCTTCGATGGATTGTTATACGAAAATCACTTGTATATCTTTGCCTGATTCTTGTACCAATGTTTACGGAGCTTTCCTGCACGAGATAGAGAAGAGTACTTAAAGACGAATGGCGCATCTTTTATCGGATATTTCGTGCGCCTTTGAACTCATCTGATACGATGTTTCTTTAGCCCTGCAGACATGCAAGCAAGCAAGCAGACAATTTAAACTTGTAAAACTCTACGAGAAAGAAAATAAAAACTTGGTTAATTAATGAGTTGAAAAATTTTTTTTTGAGCTTTGAACCCATCCCAAACGATGTATCTTGGATTTTTGAAGATTTTCTTGAAAAATGTTTTTTTGACCTTTGACGTTTGACCCTGACACAAACTATTTTTTTTCATATGATCCTCCTTTCAGTCGAGGGAAAAACTAACCACAATCTCGAGTTCTCCACCCTCGATTGCCTTTTGGTCAAGTTTTATAAAAACATTAATAATTAATAATCAATTAATAATTAGCTAATAATTAATTAAAATTAACCTCAGATTCGAGTTCTCCACTCTCGATTACCCTTTGGTCAAGTTTTATAAGAAAAATTAATAATTAATGACCAATTAACAATTAGTTAATAATTAATTAATAATTAATTAAAACTAACCTCAGATTCGTGTTCTCCGTCCTCGATCACCTTTTTGTTAAGTTTTATAAAAGACATTAATAATTAATAATCAATTAATAATTAGTTAATAATGAATTAATAATTAATTAAATCTAACCTCAGATCCGAGTTCCCCACCCTCGATTACTCTTTGGTCAAGTTTTATGCAGAAGCGGATGTTTTTTTGACCCTGATGTTCTTTTGACCCTGACACAAACATACATACATACACACAAACTATTTTTTTTCATATGACCCTCCTTTCAGTCGAGGGAATATGACTAAAATAACATTCCTAATGTCAATATTGTTCTTAATTTTCTACTGACATTCGTAACAAGATCTTGTATACATATAAAAATAAAATAGATTTTTCTCTGTCTCTCTCGAGAAAAACATGTCAGAATCTATTCATAGTGAACAATTTTAAATATTACTTAATCTATTCATAGTTAGAAACTTTTAACTGTTGTCACCTTAAAGTGATTGAAGTTATTTGTTGAATTTTCTATCCATATTAATAATGTAAGACTGTTATGTTATTACGATGATATTGTCATGAGAAATAGAAAACTAGACATGTCGTTACATGTATATTTACAAAGGTTAAAAATAGTACTATTTCTATAGAGTTAATGTATAAATACTGAATCTATAATCGATATGGAAGCATTGACAATCATAATGATGTTCAACTAAAGTGCTTTCTTTCACGAGTTCATTTCTTCTGATTTCATCACTATCTATGACATCTGTAAGCTCGAATAAACCACGATTATGAGCAGAATAGTATCGGTCGATAGAACATGTTCATACGTAAAATAGTCATCCACTTTTCCCCTTCAGATAGGTGCGTGTTTGAGCCTCATCTTCATCAACATCCACACCCACATCCTAGCTTTTTTTTCTTGACTCTCTCTAAGATACGCATGACTCACAACCCAACAAATAAACTCATACTTGCAAAGTTTGCGTACATTTCTTCATTGTTTATTAGCATTATCCATGTCTATCCTAGTATCGAACTGTTTACCAATCATTTCAATAATCTATTGTAAAACTTTCTGTGCTTGTGCTACGTTATATTTTGATTGGATCTGTTCATCAAAATGGATATCAAGATTTTCTATCAAATAACTAAAAAAAAATTGATTTTAATTCATTTTACCTACCTTTTCCATTACATTATTATCTGAGTCGTTTTTTTTTGAGCACCTCTGTTAGTAGTCATTCTTTATTTCGCGAACGTATTTCAATCTTAAATCAATGTATATATAGTTTTCTATTTTCTCTTACTACCTGCTTTTAACTACTTCTGTGAAAATTTATTACAATCATATATGGAGAAACCGACAGCGAAAGAGATCATTGTGTTGACATGTCAAATATTTTTTTAGTACACATATAAACAGAAAAAAAAGAATATTTTTGTTATAAACTCTACTAATTACTATTGAATTAGTAATTTAAAGGAAAATATCTATTGTTGGTTTTTTTTTAATAACTTTTGATCTTTTCAACCTATCGAGTTCGACCTTTCACCATTAGATGGAGCAACCTTGGGGACGTCTATCTCTATGAGATTCATTAGAAATAAAGAAAATTTTTATGATAGATCTCTGATTGATATATTTTTTTTTGCTGCCCATTTTCGTGATTTTTTATAGAGATGCTGTATCAAATTACACCAAAATGTAGCCTGAAGAATTCTGTATCCGTGATAAAATTTTCAGTTCTTTCTGTCATTGTCTCGAATACAATAATTCTTTAAAATTGTGAGATTTTGACACGAATTTGATCCTAGATCTCAATGAAAAATATATCAATTAGAGATCAATTATAAAAAACTTCTTTGTTCCTAATAGATCTCATAGAGATAGACGTCTCTAAGGTTGTTCTATCTAATGGCGAAAGATCGAACTCAATAGTTTGAAAAGATCAAAAGTTATTCAAAAAATCTGACAACGGTGTTAATCATTTTTTTTTGTACTTGTATGTTGCAAAAACGTGACTGAATTTATCTTTCTATCTATCAATTAAGTGTTTTATAATCTAAACAAAATTTATCGCACGGGTTAAGAAGTCCTTGTCGATCCGATAGTGGAATAAACTAAAAAAAAAAAGGAAAGAATGTATAAATGCATAATTCTTGAAATATTTTACTACTTACTTTATCAAAAGCTTGTTTGATAAAACCGTGTTTTTCAGTTCACTCGGGCATGACGTAATCTTTTATTTTCGTTATATTACCGATTGTCTGAGACGAATATTTGAATACGAAATAAAATGAAATACTAATAGCAGCAAAAAAAAAATACTACGTGTGACTGTATATTATTATAAATAATAAAATAAGAGAAATGAAAAAACACCATAACAAGACACTGTCAATAAAAAACATAATGTTTGTTGTCTTTCTTTTTTAAGTGGATATGCTCTTACATATATACACGTTTCACGTTTTATTCTTCGATTTCTGTATCTGCGCAAA